GAAGGCCCGATGACTGGTTCTGATTCATCCTAATAGAAGGGAAGGGAATATTCCGAGGGAATAAGAGAAGAGTTGATATTCAGACTTCCTGCCAGCATGAAATGGACTTTGGTCCATTACTTCTGGTCTTAACTCTAACAAGATAACTCAGTTTCCTGTCATGGGTTTTTCAGCTTCCCTGAGGTTTCTTTGTTTAACCAACTGGGGAGGCTGCTGTATTCCTTACAATATATTACTGATGTGGGAGTTATTTCCAAATCAGCTGTTTGTGTATAGTCACTGATTTATTAGAACAAAAATTAAAATCATACCGAGTTAGAAGAATAAAAAACGAGAAGATATGGTATGCAATTGAGGCAACTCCAACCTGACTTACTTGAATAAGCTGTTTATGCTAGAAAAGGAAAAGTGTGTTAAAAAATTTTACACAAACCATTATCATTTTTAAAAGGAATTTTAACTAATGTAAATCAGTCACCAAAATAGGAAGGTCAAAAGAGCCTAGATGAAACCAGTGCCAATACACATTTGATCTCTCTTGCCAAGCAGCGACATGTTAGCCAACAGCAATATCAGTTTACAATATAAACTCACTTGTAATATCTTACAAAGGAAGTTCATAAAAAATTATGAGCAGTATTGCCTAATAAAACAGTAATAAGTAGGAAAAAGAAACAATGTTGCAGAAAGCTTGGCAAGAAAGCTAATTAAGCCAGATCAAGTATAATCAGGAGGGTAACAACAAACAAATAAAGAATGAAAAGGAGCTGTCAAGATTTTTTAAAATTAAATTAAATTTTTTGTTACATTTTATGTTCCAAACTTTCTCCCTCTTTCCCTCTCTCCCCATCCCACACTAGAGAAGGCCACCATTTCTCACACATACATACAAAGACACACATATACATTTGATACAGATTATGTATATATATATATAGAGAGAGTATACATATTATATATACATACATATTTATATGCAAAATCATACTATGCATACTTCTATTTATGAGTTCTTTCTTCTCTGGCCGTAGATACATGGAAGTAGAATCATGGTCATTCATAGATGATTTGAATATAGTCAGAATCGCTTAGTTGTTCATAGTTACTCTTCGAACAACATTGTTATTACTGCATACAATGTTCTCTTGATTCTGCTCCTTTCATTTTTCATTATTTTCTGCAAGTCTTTCCATGCTTTTCTAAAATCAACCTGCTCATCATTTCTTACAGCATAGTAATCCTACAACATAGCAGGATTCCATCACAATCCTATACTACAACTTGTTTAGCCATTCCCCAATTAAGGGGCCTCCTCTCCATTTCTAGTTCTTTGCCACCACAAAAAGAGCTGCTATAAATATATTTTATTTATTTTAGAAATATTTTAGAAAAGGTTCTTTTCCTTTTTTCCTGATCACCTTGGGAAACAGACCTAATAGTGGTATTTCTGGGTCAAAGTGTATACACAGTTTTATAATTCTTTAGGCACAATTCCAGATTGCTCTCTAAAATAGTCGGATCAGTTCACAGTTCCACCAACAGTCCCAATTTTTCCACACCCCCTCCATCATTTGTCACTTTCTCCTTCTATCATTTTAGCCAAAAGGATAGCTGTAAGGTGATATATCCAAGTTGTTTTAATTTGCATTCTCTAATCAATAATGATTTATAGCACTTTTTCAAATGACTATATATAGCTTTAATTTTCTCATCCAAAAACTGCCTGTTCATTTTTTTAACCATTTGTTAATGGGTGGGATGACTCATATTTTGTAAATTTGACAGTACTCCATATATTTCAGATGTGAGATCTTTATCCAAGAAACTGTCTATAAAATCTCCCCCCTGCCCCATTTTCTGCTTTCCTTTTCATCTCGGATACATTGATTTTATTTACATAAAAACTTTTTAATTTAATGTAGTCAAAACTATTCATATCTCACAATGCTATCTCTTATTTATTCATAAATTCTTCTATCCGTAAGTCTGATAGGTAATATGTTCTATCTTCTTCTAATTTACTTGTCAAGATTTTTCTAAAAAAGCTCTTTTCTCCATCAAGTATAGGGATGCTACCACATTTGGACTCTAACATCACAGTCCCTGATGTCTTGAATGAGGAAGTAGAAATAGCAGTAAACAAAGATGCAAAGAGACAAAGTGTGAACAAAAGGTTCCTAGACTGGAACTGATCCAAATTTCAAGGCATCAGGGAATCCCATCAATTTACCAGATATCTGAAAGAGGAAATGATACTAAATACCTGGAAAAAAATCAGGGAACACCTCTTCTCAGATCTCGGTGAATCCAGCCCAGGACCCAGAGCTGGAAACAGAATTTTATCAATGGAAAGTCCATTAAAGAAGACACATTACCATTTATTTTGCCACTGCACCCTTCGGACCATTGGGTCTTTCCATGTCCCTTGCAGCAAAAACCACTTATGTGTGTTGTCCTCCTCTCTCAGAATGTGAGCTTTTTGAGATCAGAGACTATCTTGTTTCTCTTTTCGTATCCCTGTGCTTAGCACAGAGCCTTACACATAGTAAACTCTTAATCAATGCTTTTTACATTCATTCATTATTAATTTTAAAAGGCATTTGAGAAAATGTCTATAACTACTGATGTATATGTCTACTTTCCCATCTCTGTAAAATGTTTATGAAAGTAATCTACAACCGTGTCAGGGGGAGGGCCTCCCTGATGAACAAATGAGTAGGAGGCCAGCAGGCCTATTTTACAAAAGATCACATCTTTACAATCATACAATTGACAAGAAAATGTAATTAATTCAAGATCCCACTGCACTTGTTTGCTGACAATAAAAAAGTATTTGATTTTATAAACAAAAATAGTATCTCTTCTCCAACATCTCCTATGCATACGCTATACTTGTGCAAGATTTTTTTTATAAGGATTTAACAACAGGAATAACTTTGTTGACTCTCTGGTTATAAAACAGGGAGACCTATGTTTGACACGTGTGTTTGCCACTGTCATAGAGAACATCCAGCAGAGTACAAATTGGTGTTGGGGTTGAAATTCTGCAGTGTTCCTATTTGAAAATGGCATCATACTGCTTTCATGAAGCCCCAGAACATTGCAGAGTGTCCTACATGACATCTTTAATAACCCAAAAAAGTTCTGCATAAGTATTCACAGAGGAAAAACCAAGTGACTATGAAATGCCTTTTGTTCAGATTTTAATATCAATAAATTAATAAGTGTTTTCTAAGTCCTTAATATGTACTAGACACTGTGCTAAATGATTGAGATCTGCCTTTCTCTGCTCCCCCCAAAAAAGGCAAAAAAAAGTACCTGCTCTGAAGAAGCTTACATTCTAGTGGGGAAGATAATGTATATGAGTTGTTGTATATGAGATCTACACAGAGTAGATGGGAGACACTCTCAGAGGAGAAGGCACCAGCAACTAGGGGAATCAGGAAAGTCTTCCTGTAGGAAATTATATTTGAGCTAAGTCTTAAAAGCATCCAGATAATCTAAGATGCAGGAATTAGGAGGGAGAGCATTCTAGGTATTCCACAGCCAGTGAAAAGTCATGGAGATAAAATTTGGAGCTTTGTGTATACGGAATAATAAATAAAACAGCGTGGCTACATTGTAGAGTGAGGAAGGGGAGTAATGCATAAAAAAACCTGGAAAGATAAGAAGCAGCCAGTTGCAAAGAGATCTAAATGTCAAACTAAGGAGTCTATATTTGATCCTAAAGGCAATGGTGGCCACTGGAGTTTTATTGAGTAGGAAGATAAAATAGACCTACATTTTAGCAAATCAATTTGTCAGCTGTATAAAGGATGGATTAGACTGGGTAGAGAATTGAGGTACTTGAGCTACCTATGAAGGAGCATGCTGGTTGTCAGCTTGAGCCTCTATTCCACACTTTTTTAAATACTCTAGACCAAAGGGGCATTTTCGACATGGAACTGGTATCATGTTCAATAGGAATCGAGATAAACTATAAACCTAATCCCCTTTTCTTCCCCAGAGACTGAGGTAGTATAAGCAGGAAATGGAAGCATTATGCCTCCCACATGTTGGGGCAGTACATTTGTATATTTTTGATCACCTTTTGAAGCAAGTATTTCTGTGTAGAAGCTACTCTCATGGCTAACTGAGATTCGGGGAACACTCCCTACAAGGGAAGGAACACCATGATGGGGGCTGGGGTCAAGTGAAAACAGCCTAGACATGTCCGAAACCCCTGAAGGGTACGGGAGACCCCTGGGGTAAAATGGTGAAATCTAACCTACGTGACCTTCTAGGTAGTGGGGACCAACAAGCTTTGTTTTAAACAACTATGGACAAACAAGCTAGAGAAAGAATTGGAAATGCTCAACAGAGGGAAGATATCCTTACTCGAATGATAACCAGGGATAGAAGCCTAGACTCTGGGCTTCAGCAATTCAAATCAGGAGTGTTCACTCACCATAAGCTAGGGTGAAGTCTCTGACAGGGAGAACTAAATCAGTAATACAAAACTCCAAGTGCCTGAGGTTAAGAATTTTCTGCAGTAATTGAAAGTCCTCTGTTACCATAACGGTGAAGGGCACAAGTTATTAAAAAACAGCTGAGAAGGTTTGGAATTTTTCTACCTCCCAAGGGAGCCATTCATTTGCTAGTTCATGGCCAAGGCAGTTGCTTTCCTAAAACAGCTTTTTGAACTAAAAGGGCATTGTTTTCTTCCAATAGAGAAGAGATAACACTACATAGCCAAGGACTTCAGCTAAAGTAAAAAGTAGTTTGACAGCCTCACGGCAAGTTAGGACCTACCAGCATCTAGTCGAAACTGCCTGTCCAGCAAAGCAGGATATGGCCAAAATAATATATCCAGTGGAGCAGTGGTGTTTCACAGAGACCACATGCCTGACAGAGACAAGTGGAGAACAGGCCTGGCGGAAACAGTGCAGTTACATTACTAGAAGACATTAGTCCTGAACAGTCAGAGGCTGGAGCTGTCTTTCCATAGTGTGTTTCCCAAAACCGTGTCCCTCCTTGCAGGCACCACCTTGCAGGTCATATATTTCCCACATATGTTCTTCTTCATGTATGTTCTCTCTAATGATGTGTATATTTGTGTGACAGTGTTCCCCAGGTTTATGATGAAACGTTTTATTTCTACTTTTCTTATTATGTTATTTCAATAAATGCCTTTATTTGAACGAGGTATACTCTCTGGCTGATTATTAAAGATAAACACATCAATGAGGGCTCCAGAGATATGGTTTTAATGGATTAAAAACCCACAAAGCACCTTAAACATTGGGATAGCTATCTCTGGAGTGCCTACCTGGTGAATTGGTAGATACCATCAGGTATTTCACAAACACTGAGCTGAAATCAGTTTCTCTGAGATTGCTACCTTGTTCTGGATGGAGCCTGACTCAAACCAGTCCCTTGGTAATTTAGGTTCAATACTGGAACAAAATGAGACATTCATAAATCATTCAAGAAAAATTATCCATAATAGGAGGATAGTCCACAAAGACTGGTATTGAAGACACTGTTAGTTGATTCAGCTAAGTTAAGTTCCCTTATCTAAGGTGCCCATCATTTTCCACCAGCTAAGTATCAATGAGTTTAAGGAGCTCCAGTATTCAGGCAACAAGTAAAGAATGCCAATAGCCTGAGCTTTAGTTCCAGAGCCAACCAAGATGCAAAGAGTGTTTCAATATCCCTTAAGGAAAAACCAGTCTAATTTTAATAGGAGGAGTTAGGCTCTCCCACGTTTTATTCTTTGTTTGTTATGTCTTCAAGGTCTTCTAGACCACTTAAATGAATTTAGGGCTATTATTGTTCAACCCAACCTTCAATATTCAAGAAGCCTGATAGAGGCTGAACTTTAAGAGGATAAGAAAAACAATAACAGCAGCATAGCAGAATAATGTAATGGTTCTCTGAAGGAGTGATTGAATCTGGGAGAGTCCCAGAAAGATCAGAACTCCTGGACTAAAAAATCAGGTCCATCTGGTAGGGGGATGCTAAATCTTTGCAGTTCACCATGGGTCTTTCCATATAAAAAGGTGACCATAAGAAGGTGTAGCACCAAGAATATCAGGGCTTGAGCAAAGATGATAAAATTTCCTGCAAAGTCATAGATCAGGGAGAATTAGCCTGTACCATCACACACTTAGTTTCTCTTAAATCAGATATCAGGACCCTGCCCCCCTTCCCTAGGAGCCCCATGGTGGTGGCAGAATACAAAATATTGCCCCAAGAGATGTTTTCTGATGAATTGCTTCCATTCTTCTATGGGAGCTAGACATCTTCACCTTCTTCTTGTTGCTAGAAATCAAGTCACCTTCCAATAACGCCACCCATCGGTCCTCCAGTCCCTCCTAGGAAGGTGATGAAGAGTAATCACTGGCTGTTAACTGGCAGCAACCTGAAAAGACCAATTAATTTTACATTACAGTAAGTAATAGGTTATGATGGGGTCTGCCTTTTGTCACTGCACATGCCAGTGCCCATTCTTCTGCCACTGCTCCACTGTTTATTTCCTCTGGGACCATTTGTGCCCACTGCCACCTAGCCAGCACTGCTGGGGCCTACCCCTCTGCCCACTGCTCACTCTGCCAGGGTCAGCTGTTCTACCTCTGTGCTGAGATCAGACAACTGCCACTACAGATGGCTTAACTTTTCCTCTCCAATGCTATTCTATAGTATTGATATAGGCCTGAGTACTCTTGTGCTGCCACCACTGACTCCTGACTCCACCCCACTGTGGCAGGCTTGATTCTGCCTCAACATGCCAATGACGGCTGTGGTCCTGAGGTGCCATTATGTTCCTGTGGTCAGCAGGAATGTTTGCCAGGTGCTGCTGCTACTGGGCCTAACTATACCCTGCTATCGGGGCTGCAGGCGGCAGGCCAGAATGGGCCTGTCCCAGCCTAGTCCGCCATAATTGATAAAGTCAGAAAGTGCCACATGAAATGGATCAGCATGCCAGGGTGTAAGTTTCTCTTGCCAGCGGTCATCCTCTACAATGCGAGAAATTTCTTCTGCTGCCAACTGGTATCCACTGAGGGACCCAGGAGTTCATGATATGTTAAACTCACAAGGCTGCCACCCAAACCAGAAATGTTCAGTTCTGGATCACCCACCTCTATGCAGAAACTTACAGCTTGTACAGCACCCCTGCCTGTCCTCAGAAAACTTCTGTCAATATCCCCAATTCTAAAACCTGGAAAGACTTTCATGAACTAATGCCAGGTGAAGTGAGCAGAACCAAGAGAATATCGTACACAGTAACAGCAACATAGTGCAATGACCAACTTTGATAGACTCAGCTCTTCTCAAAAATGCAATGATTTAAGATAATTCCAAAAGACTCAAGATGGAAAATGCTATCCACATCCAGAGAAAGAACTATGTAGTCTGAATGCAGATCGAAGCACACTATTCTCTCTCTCTTTTTTTCTTTCTCAAAGTTTTCCCCTCTTGTTCTGATTCTTCTTTTACAATATGACAAATGGGGAAATATGTTTAATATGATTGTACACGTGTAGTCTATATCATATTGCATGCTGGTTTTTTGGGGGGGAAAGGGAAGGAGAGGGAAAAAATTTAGAACTCAAAATCTTATAAAATGAATGTCGAAAACTAGAAATTAATTAATTAATGTAAAAAATAGCCCCAATTCTAAAAAGTTTGAGGGCTTCCAAGTAGAATGTCCTTTCAATGTCCTTTCAACTACTTTACCCAATGGTTTACACTAAAAAAAGTCACAATAAAATTCACATGACACAATTCCATTTGATCTTTCAAATGCCAAATTAAAAAAACAAACAATTAAAATAGTTTCTTCCTTACAGTTGTTAGACAATCCTAAAATTCCAGAGATCTTCCTAGGTTTGCATTCGCTGATTGCTGCAGATAACTTCATGCCCTCCTTCAATTGACTGGCTTTGTCCATATACAATTTCCAAAAAGCCATTCAAAACCAAACAATTCTTTCCCCATTCACATATAAATATGACTCCCTTTAAGCCAGGAGGGGCCTTCTTTCAGCAGACCTTTCCTGAGGCAATTAGTAATTATTAATCAATAGATAAAACTAAAATTGCTTTTTAAAAAACCTAATAAAATAGATGAATCATTAGCTAATCTGATCCAAAAAAGAGAGGGAAACCAAATGTCTAGCATTAAAAATGAAAAGAGAAAACTCCCAACAAATGAAGAAGAAATAAAGGAAATCAGTGCAAACTATTGTGGCCAATTATATGCCAACAAAATTTATAAATTAAATAAAATTAATAAATATGCATAAAAGCACAAACTATCTAAATTGACAGAACAAGAAATAGAAAACTTAAAGAACTCAATCTCAGAAAAAGAATTTGAACACACCATAAAGGAATTTCAAAGGAAAAAATTCCAGGACCATCTGTATTTACAAGTGAATTCTATCAAATATTCAAAAGACAATTAATTACATTATTACACAAATTATTTGCAAAATTAGGAAAGAAGGGATCATATTAAATTCTATGAGACAAATAAGGTCTTGGTACCTAAACCAAGGAGAGACAGAGCAGAGAAAGAAAACGGTGGATACTCTTTAATGAATATTGATGCAAAAATGTTGATTAAAATATTACCAAAGATGTTCCAGATACATGTTTTTATTTTATTTTATTTTATTTTATTTTTTAGGCAATAGGGGTTAAGTGACTTGCCCAGGGTCACACAGCTAGTAAGCAGATACATATTTTTAAAAATTATACACTAAGACTAGGTTGGGTTTGTATTAAGAATATAGAGGTGTTTCCATATTAGGAACACCATAAACACAGGAGACCCTATTAATGGAAAAATAACAAAGATTGAATGATTAATTGCATAATTAATCAAAGAAAAGGCTTTTAACAAAATAGGATACCATTTCTATTAAATATACCAAAAAACATAGGAATAGGTGGGTCTTTTCTTAATATGATAAGCAATATTTATCTAAGACCAAGAGCTATCATTATCTAAAGGCTACAGAACTTTCTAATAAGATAAAGGAAAAGCAAGAATGTCTATTATCGCCATTATTATTTGATATAGTGCTAGAAATGTTCATTATAGTAAGCCCCCTCCAGGATCTTCAGTGCCTCTGGTCTATTTAAAATTTTTACTTTACACCCACATCCTATAACCCCACACTTCACCCAAAGGGTCTTCTTAGGTGGTTGTGGAAACTCTTCTTTCTTATCTGTTTTGCAAATAGATCTCTTTTTTTGTCCATTCCAAGTCAGTTTAGGGCAAATCTGTAGCTTCTAATTTCCACTATTCCCCTTAGCCTGGACAGCATGTTTCCCATTCATATCAGCCCCTCCCACTGCATCTCTTGTGTTTCATAAAACCACTCCTGCGGTCTTTCTGTCTTTCTAGCTTTTGTCTTCTTCCAGAGAAGCTGGATCAGATTGTATCAATTACCTGTGGACATTTCCTCAAAGATCTCCAAGGGGGATGCAGGGGATGGGTCCAGGAAAGAGAATAACTCAGTAAAAGAGGGGGTAACTCCTTGCTCTAAATGTATATGCAGATAGACATAATACAAAAGAGAAAGTACATTAATGGCACATACACGCAAGACGCTATGAGAATTTTGAGAAGGGATATATACCACCCAGGGAGGATCAGAGGGGAGTCATTTGAATTGGTTCTTGAAGCTGGGTGGGATTGACTTTTGGAGGACTTATACCACCTTTTTTGGTGGTATATGAAGAGACACTCCTGATATGCTTCAAGCAGCTTTCTGCCACTGAACCCCAAAGGGTTTCTTCTTTCTCTACTGCTGTCATCAGCCTACCCCTAAACTCCGAGGAACCCTGACTAATTTCCATTAGTTCCAGGTAAGCATGCAAAAGGGCTTTGCTCTTAACTCCCTGGAGAAAAGATCCAAATTAAAAAGCTTCACTAATGAATTAAGGGAAAAAGTAACAGACAAAATAATTCCTCTTTCTAGGAGGAAGGACAAAGGGAACATGATAGACAAGACGTGTCTTCCTTGGATTTTAGAGTCCTTAAATAGGACAAACTACAGGCCAAGGGGCAAATCTGGCCACAGCTAAAAATGTAAAAACCCATTCTTAGCTCACAAGTGGTGCAAAAACAGGCTGTGGGCCGGATTTGGTTTGCACAGCACCTTAAATGTCAAGTACTTTATCCTAGTGGTCAGAGGAAGCCAGGGTCTATGAACAGGTGAGTCAGCTACTCAGACCTGTGCCGTGGGAAGAAGCCAAGTGGAAGATGGATGGGATCAGGGGCAGACTGGAAGCTAGGAGATCAATTAAAAGGTTTCTATCGTAGTCCCAGTCCCGAAGGAGTTGCAGAGGGTCTTGGATTGCGGTCAGTGAGTCAATCAATAAACATTCATTAAGCACCTGCTTAATAAATTTAGGTACCTACAGCAGCAAGGACAGCGTGCCGGTCCTGAAGTCAGAAAGACTCATCTTCCTGAGTTTGAATTCGGCCTCCTACACTTACTAGCTGTGTGACTCTGGGCAAGTCATTTAACCTGGTTTTCCTCAGTTTCCTCATCGGTAAAATGAGCCAGAGAAGGAAATGTTAACCCATTCTAGTATCTTTGCCAAGAAAACTGGGATCACAAAGAGTCAGACACGACTAAAAAACGACTAAACAAGTACCTACTGTGTGCCAGACACTGTGCTGAGGATATAAAGAAAAGCAATAGATAAATGCACTCCCAATTGCATTTTCTTTTTAATCCCGTGTACAGCTTGTTTGTATGCCGTCTGTCCCATCAGACTGCTTGAGAGCCAGGCATATAGTAGGTGCTTAATAAATGCTTATTGACTAGTAAACATGTCATCTTCTAAAATGTCAATCTTAGATTATAAACCTTTAACTATTTTGTGCCTCTGTCTTCTGAGCAGAGGGAGGGCGGGCGGCACTTTTTTAGACACAATATTATGCAAAAATATCAGAGCTGATAATACGCCTGGAAGGCGTCTAAGGCCCCCCGTGGCGACTGCGGGATTTGCGAAGCCCCTTCCTCCCTCCCTCCCTTCCTCCCTTCCTCGTAATCCCTTGGGGGCTCCCGGGCTCCCTCCGCTCCACGGCCTCGTGTGACACTCACCTCCAGCCTCCTTTTCCATTATCCGGGTCAGAGCAGCCGCTTCTTTTCCGAATGAATCTAGAACGATACCCGGATTATCTAAAAGCAAAACAAAGCAACAGTAACAACTCCAAAGATAAGAAAGCGGAGAAAAAAGAAAGAAACCCCCCCCCCCAGTAACCAGAAGCTCATGGATCTTCTATTAGAGACCAAAAAGACGAGCTCCCGAGCGGTGGCCGGTTAGCTCAGTTGGTTAGAGCGTGGTGCTAATAACGCCAAGGTCGCGGGTTCGATCCCCGTACGGGCCATGGGAATAAAAAAAATTTTCTTTCTTCCGCTTTTTTAAAAAAAATAACAACCACCAAATCATTACAAAAAGAGAAATGAAGGAAAATAGTCCAAGGGACGCGGAAAACTTGAATTTAAAAGCAAAATGTACTAAGTCTAGTTATGGCTGGTTGTCTCGGAAGTCGCCAAAACGGGAAGGACTGGCACGCGGCCGCGGGAAGCGGACTCAGCCTGCGGCTCCCGCAATCACCTCCTTCAGCCCGGCGTTGGAGCCCTCCGCCTAGGGCCCAGGGTTAGGATGTGTTTGCACCGAGTTGCCCAAGTGTTCCGCTTTCTCCAGCCTGGGGTGCCCTTATTACACGAGACACACAATCCCACACTCACAAACGCTCCCTTATTAGAGAAGAAACCGCCCCCTCCCGCAGAGATTACCCCACCCCGTGAGGGTCAGCCCACGACAGCCAAAAACTCCTAGGTCTTTGCAAGTCTTTCTGCACGACAACGCCCCGAGGTAGATCGTGCAAAATTATTTATCTCTACTTGCAGAGAAGAAAACCTGGGCACCGCTAACTACCAAAATCAAAATTCAAACCGAGACCTCCAGATTCCAAGTCCAGGGCCTTTTTCACTAACAGTAACATCAGTTTTAGAAAAGTATCAAGTCAAGTCAACAGGTATTTATTAAATGCCCGTTATGTGCCAGAGGCTGTGCTAAGCGCTGGGGACGCAAAGAAAGGCGATAGACAGTCCCTGCTCTCCAGGACTAGGTTTATCCTATGTTTATCTTGTATGAAATTGAGTTGTTTGCAAGTTGTCTTCCTCGTTAAACTGTAAGCTCCTTGAGGGCAGGGGCTATCTTTTGCCTCTTTTTGTGTCCCTAGGGCTAACGTCGTCGGCGCTTAATAAATGATTGATTGATTTCAGGTCGCTTCACACAAGAACTTGGCAAAGATAACAAAAGAAGGGAATAGTTAATATTGGAGGGGCTGTGGAAATTCAGGCATGCTATGAATTGTTAGTGCAGCTGTGAATTGGTACAACCATTTTCTGGAATATATTGGAATTATGCAAATAAAGTGCCTAAAATGCACCGATCACTGACCAATAGTAGGCTCCATATCCACCAAAAATGTTTATAGCAGAATTTTTTGTGGTATCAAAAATTGTAAACAATTTAGATGTCCATCAATTGGGGAATGGCAAAACAGATTGCGATACATGAATGTAGCCAAAGTTGTGCTGATAAATGTTTAACGGCTTCTTAGGGAGAAATGAAAGCACAAGCATTTTTTAATCTGCATTATTATCACTTTGTTAACTCTAGATAATTAGCAAAACTAAATCAAGCCCTGACTTGTAGTGATTGCTGATTTCTAAGGTGCAAATGCTTCAGCCGAAAATTTGACAATCAGCTCTTGCAGGCCAATCAGAGCTGGCTCCATCACACCCTTGAATATAATGGACTGTTATTGTGCTGTAAGAAATCACTGGCTTAAGGAATACATAAAAGCATGAAAAGATCTGCTTAAACTGGAGCAGAATGACATAAGCAGTTTCAGAAAAACAAAATACATAAGGACTACTACAATGCAAATCCAAAGAAAAACAATCACAAAACAATTTTTAAAAAATTAATGTTGCATGTCTACTGTGGAAGTGTTTTGCGTAACTGCACACCTATTACCTATATTGAGTTGCTTGCCTTTTCAATGAGGGTAGTTGGAGAGGGAGGAAGGAAGAAAATTTGGAACCCAAAGTTTTAAAAACACTTTAAAAAAAAGGTTTCACGTGCAACTGGGAAATAAGAAATACAGGAAATGGGGTACAGAAATCTATCCTGCCTTACAAGAAAAAAGAAGGGGAAAGGGGATAAGAGAAGAGGGGGAGAGATAGAAGGGAGGGCAGACTAGGGGAAGGGGTATTCAGAATGCATGCCATCTTGGGGTGGGGAGGGGGCAAGATGGGGTGAAAATTTGGAACTCAAAATTTTGTGGAAGTAAATGTTGAAAACTAAAAATAAATTTACAATAAAATAAAATATTTTTTTTAAATGAATGTTGCAAAATTATAAAGAATAAGCTTGACTCTACATAAGAATTATAGGGGCAGCTAGATGGGATAGTAGCTGGAGCTCTGGTCTTAGTATCAAGAGGACCTGAGTTCAAATCCATCCTCAGACACATAACTCTAGTTGTGTGATCCTGGGCAAGTCACTCAACCCTGATTGCCTCACCAAAACAAAAAAGAAGAGATATGAATAGATATTTCCTCCTGCTTCTTTGCAGGGTTCTGGATCGAAGAGCTTTTTTTTTTTCAATGTGTTGATCAGTTTTGCTCATTTTTTAAAAGTTTCTTTTAGAAAAAAAATTCTTAATTCTAAGGGATGGCTTTCTAGGGGAGAGAGGAAGGGGAGAAGGAATGAAAATCTAGGTGATAAATTATATCAATAAAAATCTATTAAAATGTATGTTTATCAGTCTTTTGTATTTTAAATATTTCTATGTGGTGGAGGAAGTAAATAGCTCTCCTATATCTGATATATACTACTCTATAGCTCATACAATGAGTACTATTCTAAAAGTGATTCTATAAGTATCTGTAGATGAGAGCCTACACATGAAACCAAGCTAAATATTTTTTAAAAGAAAAATTTCTTAGAGTAACTCCAGGTGTGGTCATACTGAGCCTGAGATTTGGAGAAAAGCCACATCCACTTTCTCACAGTTACGTCAAACTCCTTTAGAACTAAACCTAGTCCATTTGAGCCTAGGGTGAGGGCATCCAGTGGCATAGGGCACCTCCACTCTTTCCCACTCCGCTTTGCTCCCTCAGGCTTTACACTAGTATACTTCATAGTATAGTATAGTATGGTATGGTATGGTATGGTATGGTATGGTATGGTATGGTATGGTATGGTATGGTATAGTATAGTATACTTCATACTATACTAATGTGCAAGATGGAATAGGAAGTACACATGGTCCCAGGCAATTACAAAGATCAATTCTTTTTCTTTTTAATTTTTTAAAATTTTTAATTAATTTATTTTGAATTAACAGTAATCACTTCCATTTTCCCCCACTCCTTCCCCAGCTCCCTCCCCAAGACAGCACGCTATCTGATATAGGCTATACATATACATTCCTATTAAACATATTTTCACATTAGTGATGTTATAAGAATTAGAACCAATAGGAGGAACCACCAGAAAGAGGAAACAAAACCAACAGAAGAAAAAAATGAACAAATAGTATGCTTCGATCGGCATTCAAACTCCATGGTTCTTTCTTTGGATGTGGATAGCATTCTTTTTAATTTTTAATTCTGAACTTAAACATAAACAAAGCATTTCATAGGTAAAACAGAATACAAGAGTATTTTGCATGCATTTCATGTTCACTCCTCCCAACCCTTTCTCCATATTTCTTGCATACTTCAGTTATGAGAAGTAACAAATTATATAACCTTTTTTTTCCTTTCTATACTAATGTATTCTTTATTTTACCCTCAGAACAGAATTAATCTCCCCTTGCCTCTTTTTCTTATTTAACTCCCTCAGTATCCTTTGAATACATTAAGGTTCTGAAAGGACACTTGTTTCTTCTCTCCCTACTAGAATGTTAGTACTACATCATCTTATAGGTTCTTCCCATTACTCCAAAAACTTTCTACATTTGTCTAGACCTGAGTTTTTATGTATCAAAGTTCCCAGTGAGATCCAGTCTTTTTGTCTGAAATACTTGAAAGTCTATTCCATTAAAGATCCATTTCTCCCCTGTAAAATGATATCCAATTTTGCAGGGTGAACTATTCTTGGTTGTAAGCCTATCCCATTTGACTGTTAGAATATTGTATTTCAAGATCACCTGTGGTTTTTAGTAGAAACTTGCACTTCTCGTGTACCTGACCATGATCCCTTGGTACATTAGCTGTTTCTTTTCTGGATGCTTGCAGAATTTTTTCTTTGATGTTGGAGCTCTGTGGTTTGTCCATATTATTCCTGGAAGTTTTCCTTCTAGGAGATTATTAGTGGATTTTTTAAAAAAAAATCTTTATTTTACCTTCTGATTCTAATCGATTTGAACAGTTTTCATTTATGGTTTCTGGAAAATTAGTGATCATGGTTTTTAGGGAGTCAAGTGATCTCTTTTTGACCTGCTTTCCAGGTCAATTGTTTTTTATATCACCTGACATTTTTATCCTTTTTTCAGTGCTTTGATTTTGTCCTTATATTTTTTGCTGCTTTATGTGTCATCATTGACTTATGATTTGTCTATTCCAGTTTTCAGAGATTCCATTCTTGGGTAAGGTTTACTTCTTTCTCTTCTAAGCTACTTATTCTTTTTTTCCTTAAGAGCTTTTTTTCCTCCTTTTTTCATATTTTATCTCCTACTTCATTTCTTCTAGACATTCATGTAGTCCTTGTGGAAAAGCCATGTCTTTGCTTCCAGTTGTTGAGTTAAATTTGCAATAATTTATGATACTCCTTGGTGTTTTCTTTGATTTACTCATTTTTCAGTTTTCCTTCCAGTTCATCAATTGAGGCTTTGTGTCAGGGCCTAGTTCTTCCCCCTCAATCCCCCTTGCACTTTTGGGTGGCATGGTTGGCTTTCTTTATTCTTGTCTTGGGTCCTGGAGTACTTGTTCTGATTTCTACTGCCTGGTGTTAGGCTCCGTGAATCTTTGAGGTTTGGAGTAGTAGACCTGTCTTTGATATAGGTAGTAGGTCTCTCTTCAATGTCTCAGGACAGAGTTTTAATGACCTCATTTTCTCTTCAGCCTTTGAAGTTAAGAAGAATGAGAATTGAGAAAAGGCCATTAGATTTGGCAATTAAGAGACCTAACAACTCACACCTATCACATGTGACAGAAAAAGAAAAGGATAATATGACAGAAAAGAAAATATGACAGAAAAGGAAAATGACAAATATTGGAAGGGATGTGGAAAAACTGGGACACTAATGCACTGTTGGTGGAGTTGTGAACTGACCCAACCATTCTGAACAACAATTTGGAACTATGCCCAAAGGGATATATAACTATGCATATCCTTTGCCCCAGGAATACCACTTCTAGGTATGTATCACAAAAAGATGAAAAAAGAAAAAAAAGGAAAAGGACTTGCATGTATAAATATATTTACAGCAGCTTTTTTTTTTTTTGTAGCAGCAAAGAATTGGAAATTGAGGGGATGCCCATCAATTGGGGAATGGTTAACCAAGTTGTGGTACATAACTGTGATGGAATACTATTGTGCTACAAGAAATGATGAACAGGATGGTTTCAGAAAAACCTGGGAAGACTTATATAAACTGATACAAAATGAAATGAGCAGAACTAGTAGAACATTGTACCCAGTAACAGCAATATTATACAAT